TTGATCCATTTTGAATTAACTTTTGTGCATGGCGAGAGAAAGGGATTCAGTTTCATTTTGTTGCATATGGATTTCCAGTTTTCCCAGCACCATTTGTTGAAGATGCTATCCTTCCTCCATTGCATGCTTTTAGCCCCTTTATCAAATATAAGATAGTTGTAGTTTTGTGGATTGGTTTCTGTGTCCTCTATTCTGTACCAAGAAAAGAATTCTTGACTTCAGTGTCTTAGCACTGAAAGATGGTCAGGTCCATAAATACATGGGATGGATGGATGAAACGAGGGATATATGGATAGATGGATATAGGTAATATAGCACAGAACTACTCCAAAATACTAATGCAATACTCTGCCACTTGTAAACCTTGGGAAATTAAATCTTTCTGGGCCTCTGGTTCCTCATTTGTAAATAATAATAATAATAATAATAATTTAATAAATAGTATTGAGGGCTCTTTCAATTGCAAAAGTTTAGGCAAAAAGTTAAGCTTATCATGTCACATAACCAGAACTGTTAAAGATATTAAATCTCCAGCTCTGGTTGGATCCAGGGGTTCAAATGTTATCTCCATATATTATCTTACCGATTCTCTGTCATAGATGGATCCTTTTCTAATAGCAAGAAATGTAGCTCTTGTCTAAATTTTTATAATGATTTAGATAAAGCAAAGGCCCTCTGTCTTCTACTTTCCAAATTTAAAATCTTATGAAAAGCTCTGGTTAACTGTATACTTAAAATACATAATTAGTTCTTCAGTCTATCACAGTGTCCAGGGAACGGGGTACTCAGACCAGAGCACTGTGGTTGGTAGCCCTATCAAGTCCACATGAAATGGGAGAGGAGTTCCTTAAGGAATACAAGTAGTAGAAAAGTGGTCTGGGATTGGGGGTGTAGCTCCGTAGTAGATTCTCTAAGTGGACTTGGACTGATCTAGTTCTCCCTGTTTTCTCAATTGTAATTCTCAAGGATAACTGTAGAATGTGCTGGGAATGCAATGTCTTGAGATTAGAGGGAGTTGAAACAGTCTGGGCTGTGTTCTGGTGTACTTCAGAAACAGGATGTCCTTCAGCACTATAGGCTAGCTATAAACTCCAAGGTGGGTATAAACTCAAGGGTCGGCTGATTTTCAGGTCTCTCAGCTGCAGCAAAAGTGGAGAACATGGGCTGGGGATATAGTTCAGTTGGTAGAGAGCTTGCCTTGCATGCACAAGGCCCTGGGTTCAATCCCCAGCACCACAAAAGAGAAAAAAAACAAGGAAAAGTGGAGAATATGCAGCTCTCCTGAGCCTTAGAGGCCTGGCTCACAACAAACCTAGGTTTCATGTAACTTGTCACGTATGAGTGTGTTGTCTCACAGGACTGAGATACATTGGTTAACAACTGATCCACCTGCTTCACAGGTCTCCCTGATCTCTACTTTCCTCTCCTCAAAAATCCCTTTCAGCAGGGTGGGGGCTTAGCTCAGTGGCACAGCACTTGCTTAGTATGTGTGAGACCCTGGGTTCAGTTCTCCCCATTAAAGGAAAAAAAAAAAATCTCTTATCAATTCCCAAGGTAGGGAGAGGTGATAGAGTTGTTTGGAGCCAGATTTCCCTCTAGATATTCCTCTCATGGAGCACAGAAAAATGGGTCAATAGGAAAGAGGGACACTGCTGGCTAAGCCAGGAAGGAGGAATTCTAGAGGTCAACAATGTGAGAGAAGAGAGCTAGATTTGCTTCCAAAGAGCCTTCCTTTAGCTTTGTTTCTCCAAGGGTGGAGTGGATCTCAGATGATGAATGTGTAGCCACTGTGATAGGCTTACGCAGAGCTGGAGAATCTGAGTGGGGGTCTTCTCCAGCCTTACCCTGCTCCTATGATTATGGGAGATGGGCTATGTCCTATCTTTCCCACTTCTACCACCTCCTATATCTTGGGACTAAATCTCTACTCCTGACTTCCAGCCTTGAAACATAGTTTAATACCTCCAAGAGGGCAACTTCACAAAACTTCTAAGGACAACAATGAAACCTCACACACACGGTGTCCAAACTGCTGATTGCTGAGATTGTTAGAGCTGAAAGTAGAGTGAGAAATGGTGCAGGGAGGCTACTGAGAAGAGTTATAAAAAGGAAAAAAGGCTGAGCACAATGCAAATGCCTGTAATCCCAGCTAATCAGAAGGCTGAGATAGGAGGATCACAAATTCAAGGCCAGCCCCTGCAACTTAGTCTCAAAATTAAAAATAAGAAAGGGATGGTATGTAGCTCAGCAAGCAAGGCCTTGGATTCAATTCTTAATATCTGAAAAAAAAAAGAAAAAGAAAATCTTCTGCAAAGAAACCATAGGGGAGCATATCCAGCAAGGTGTTTCGCTATTAATTCATGTTGCGTTTGATTCTGACATTAACCATCCACCAGCAGCATGAGACCCCACAGATTTAGGGGGAAGGTCTCTAACAAGACTGTGGGCATGGTGGTGGATACCTGTAATCCCAGCAACTCAGGAGGCTGAGGTAGGAGGATCTTGGGAGGCTGAGGCAGGTGGATCACAAGTTTGAGGCCAGCCTCAGCAAATTAGGGAGACCCTAAGCAACTTAGTGAGAACTTGCCTCAAAATAAAACTTAAAAAGGGCTGAGGATGTAACTCAATGGTAAAGCACTCCTGGGTTCAATCCCCAGTATCCAAAAAAAAATAGTAAACTCACTCAGAAAATTCAAGAAAGTGCTATTTACAATTGTTTATAAAGGGTGTAAGTCAGTAATGTCCAAATGAAAAGACACATAGAATAAAGTCTGGGAGAATGCCAAATGCAGGGCTTTCGTGCTTTCACTGGGGACATAAGATATATATTGCCCTCCTGACACATCAATATGTTTGTCAACCAAGAAGTTCTGTGAGCTTTGGTGTCCAATTTTTATTGAGATACCATTACATAGCCTTGGTTGAATTTTTGGCCACATACCAAAGTCAATCTCCAGCCTCTCTCTCCTTTCCAAGGTCTGGCTGACTTAAAAGTGCCAACCCTCTAACCATGATTGTTCTTTATGGTGACAAGCTCCCATCCTGAGTCATCTCATCTTTTAGCATAAACTTACCTAAGGGGCTCACGAATACCAAAGGCACTCAATTACATATACTCCTAAACTTCCACTGGGATTATGACCCTAAAAACCTATCATAAGTTGAAAATATCCTAAGTCTAAGCATCATAGTTTATCATAGTGTACTCACTGCAGAGCATCAGTTATGTATCTTCATGATCATATGACTGGGAGCTGGGACTCACTGACACTGCCCAGCATCTCAAGGAGTATGGTAACACATATCACTGGGATAGGAAAAAAATCAATCTTCAAAATTTGAAATATTGAATGCATGCAGCTTTTGCACCATTATAAAGTCAAAAATTCCTAAGTCAAATCATCATGAGTCAGGGACCATTTGTACTTGAGAAATTCCAGAGTTTTAATCTCCTCAAAAACCAGTGATAAATGCCAGTCTTTGCCCCTCACAAAAAAGCTTTCTAGGAAGCTGGGTCCCAGGGCTCCATTCTCTCTGACTTCTGACTCCAGGTTCACCATAATGAGGGTCCATTAGCTTTGAGCACCCCAGATAAGCCTGGGGTGTGCCACATTATCCAGAAACTGAAGAAGTAGTCCTTTGCCAAGACAAAACCCTCAACCCTGCTTCCAACTTCCAAGGCCCTATTGAAGATTCTATCCAACCCAGGACTTTGCCTCTCCTTCCTTCCCAAGAGCAAGCCCCATGTTAAACAATGACAACACCAGAGGAAGCCCTTGCCTAAGTGAAGGGAATCTCCTTGGCCTGGAGAACCAAGGACCAGAAGAAAAGAACAGGCTGCTCTGCACCAGACCTGACTCAACCAGAGCAGAAGTACCAATGTGTGAACAAGAGTGTGAGTGTGGCAAGATCACAGCCTCTTCATGTCTAAACTGCAGTGCTTCCAATAAAGCCACCTGGCATTCACTGTTGAACCTATCTGTTGTTTGTATGTAGTGCAGGCTCGGGAAGATGGATATGAGAGAGAATAAAGGTGTCAAATGGGTGAAAGGGTAGTGTATCCATTCCTTCCATTTCAGGTGAGGAAACTTTCCTCTTGCTCATTTTGGGTCATTCTCTCCTATACAACCAGTCCAGCCATAAGACTCTTTTTTTGCTTCTCCAAGACAAACTGTAGGTGAGTAGTGGGCCTTGGCTGGAATGTCAGAGATCTGAGGCAGCTATTTCCAAACTGCTACAATGGGTTAATGCCCTTCTTGACTCTGGTGCAGCATCCTCTATCTTCCCTAGCCAGCCTGTTCCATTTATTGTAATGATCTAATTGTCTTCTTTTGACTGTCCCAGCTCTACCCCAGATGATGGCTCTTCGAAGGTGCAGACTGCCTGTATTCTTTCACACTATATCTCCGTGTTCAGCACAGTGCCTGCATGAAGTAGACACTCAGTACATAGCTGTTGATTGAATGTCTATAAAAAGAAAAAGAAAAGTACAGGAAGATCAGTCTCAGCTCAAGAGAGGAAGGGGTACATCTATCTGGCCATTAAGTGACTTGGCCAAGACCACTCAGATATGTTTCCACAGCCTAGCCTGCTCTAGACTGGGTTCTATATATTCCTTCTCAGGCTAGGATCACCCAAGGAAGGGGAACAGGGTAGGCAAGAATGGCAACTGGCATGGCAGAAGCCAGGGAGGGGTAGTGGGGACTGGGAAAACTGTTGGACAGATTCCCAAAGCTGTTTCATTACTGCCAAACGCTAAAGCCTCAGCCTCCCGGACTGTAACTCCAAAATCTGACGACATCCCTGAAAGAGGATTCTATGCCCCGCATTTAAAAAAAAAAAAAAAAAAAAAAAAAAAACCTCAATTCCTCCCTTTAATGATAGACCCTAACTCCACCTCGAAATGTAACATATTGATTCCGCCTTCTCTGAAAAAATTCTGGCTCCGCCCCTTCCGGGTGATAGGCAAGCCCCACCCCTAGTGTGGAAAAGCGTCCCTGTGACGTAATGGTAACGGTCCGTTTCCGGGGTGGAGCTAGGGAGGGCGGGAGTTTAGGCTGCGCCGACCCCTCAGCCCCCCTCCAGGTGACCCTAGCCCTTGGAAACCCTCACCCAAGGCCCCCAAATCTCCCAGCCCCATAATCGCCAAACCCCTTGCCTTAACCCTCTACATGTCCCAGACCCCCGAGATAATCGTCCTCTTAAAGCCTTAACTTCTGGTGTCTCCCAAATCTTTAATCCCACCCTGTCCCGATGTGGCAATTGTCTTCCGGGGCACCTACTTCAGATTACCTGCGATTTAATCAGACTCATCCCAAGAATGACGGAGAAGGGGACCTGGGGCTAGGGAATATTTGATCCAATCATGCCTCTCCCCAGGAGACGTTCGGAACCCAGGACATGTCGGGATTGAGGAGATACGAGGTGGCGCTGGAGGCGGAGGAGGAGTGAGTGGAGGCGGGGTTCTGCGGAGGAGGAATCAGGCGGCTCCGGGTGGGGGGAGGGTGCGCGTTCTCGGGGGAGGGGGGCGGGACCGTAAGGGGCGTAGGCCACAAATGGAACCGCCTTTGTGGGGGCGGAGCCTCCCTCGAGATCGAGGCGTCCGGGGGCGGAGTCTGAGGGGTCAGCCCCGCCCCGCCCGGCCCGGCCCGGTTCTGCCTTCTTTCTACAGGATCTACTGGGGCTGTTTCTACTTTTTCCCCTGGCTGCGAATGTGGCGCAGGGAGCGGAGGTGAGGGGCTGCGATCCCGAGGGCCCTCCAGGGGCATGGACGAGACTCAGTCTCGGAGGACGGATAGGGGGGTGGGAATCTGGGCGCCCCGCCTCACCTCATGCCAGTATCGGGTTGTCCTACAGCTCTGCGCACCCCCGAGAGCAGAAGCTGGAGTCTCTGCGGGGCCTGATGAGCTGTCTGTCGAGCGGCCTGGGCCCTGCTCCCCATCGCTCAGGTCGTGGCCTCCTCTGCCGCACCCCTGCCACCGCTGCCCAGACAGCCGGTGCATTAAAAATTTAAAGCGAAGCCCACCATACTGCCTTCCTGACTCTGCTGCCGCTGCCACCATTCGATGCCATCATTCGAACTGGGAGCCCCTCTCCACACCTATTTACATACCGACAGGATCTTCCTCCCTGGTGGGGTGCTTTTTCATATCACCCCCCCCCCCCCCGCCCCCATGCCTAAGGGGCTCCTATCAAGTCAGGCTTCCTGTTACTATCAAAAGTGACTGCTTTCCTGTGCCCCCACCACCAAAAAAGAAAAAGAAAACAAAAAGAAAAAAAAACCTCCCTTCACTGTCAGTAGTCTTATATGGAGAGAAGTAAATAATCCTGGCCTGATCTCCCTGTCCACCTCATCCCCATGCACAGCTCCATCTCTCGGTTACCACCTTCCCCCTAGCCAGAATTTTGCTGGGTATCTGAAGAATCTTCCCTTCCTGGGAATGAATCTAAAACACTTTAAGCCAGGGTTGTAGGGAGTAGGCTGACAGAGGAGGGGTAGATTCCTAAGAAGCTGTCTCTTCACAAAAGCTGCCTCTTCATGTAACCTGCCTCAGGAGACTGATGTGGGTTGGAGGCCTTTCCTACAGTTAGTACCCCAACCTGGCTTCTCCAGTCTGATCCCAATTTTAGATATTCTTAGCATTAACCCACCTAGCTGTTATTGATACTTCCCTAGTAAAGTCCAAGGGCCACTGCTCCCTGCCATCCCATTTTACTGTGTTGCTCAAATCAACCTGGGATCCACTAACTCCCAAAGTGGTGGGACTACTCCCAAAGCGGAGGTCTACTATGTTAGCCTGCTTTTAGTTAGGGACTAACCTCAGCATTAGAAGGGACACCAGGGTATTAAGTTACAGAGATAGCCCAGTTTCTAGCTGGGACCAATGACTTTCAGCCTGGGCTGCCCCTTCGACAGCAGACTTGGCCTGATCTTTGGAAAAGCCAAAGGGGAGAGATGGGTGTACACCTAGAATTTGTTTTCTGCCTTCCAAAGTTCTCTGGAATTGACGAGTCCAGGAAAGATCACAAAAGTGTATGACAGGCAACCAACTGATGAAGAAGGTTTATGACAAGATGATGGGGATCTTGGGGAAGTTCCTCGGAAGTTCTTCAGTGGCTACACCCAAGCTTTGGGGCACAAGTCCAGACTGGGAGTGAGAGAGGGATCCTAAGGTCTCTGGTACCAAAGATTCAAGATGAGTCACCTCTAGGTTATCTCTTTGAAGAAAGCAACAAAGCTCTTAAGCTATTTCTTAACAATGTCCACATCACAGACCCCTTCAAATGTGGAATGCTCTGTCAAGTCCTGGGCCTACACCTCGCCAAGATACTGTCAGAAGACCTGAAGAGCCCTGAGACAAACTCCAGGGAAGGGCCTTCACACCTCAGCCTGGACAGAAGGAGAGGGTCAGGTTTTCAGTCTGAAGGGGGACTAGTTCCTACTCTGGGAGCTGACATCTTTCCTGTTGAAGCAGTCCTATAACAGAAACAGTGCTCGGAGAAGGTGTGACTCTATCCCAAAAACCTACCCCTTAGAGGATGACTGTCCCCAAATCAGAAGACTAGAAAACACCCTGAAACATCCAGATAAGGACTGGGTTAATGGGTTCTGACTCAGTTTATGTCTCAAATACAGTGCAAGACTTGAGGGTGGAAATCCCAAGATCAGGAGTGAGTGGGACATTTTGCAAGGACCTGGGCCACTAACCCAACAGCCTGTCCCCATCCCTGCCCTACCCTAGGTAGTTGTCAACATTCTGGAAAGCACTAGATGAGGAAGGGTAGGAGTGTTGCTTTGGGGGAGGGAGAAGAGGAGGAAGGCCTAGGTGTGGGATTGGGAAAGAAGGATAGGAAGGAAATACAGTAGGGGCTTCAGTGACAGGATGGGAGGCAGAAGGTGTAGGGGTTGGAAAAGTGTGTATTTACTGAGCCAGGCAGCAAGCGGGTAATGTTTCTCTAGGCCCACAGTGGAAAGAGGCTGGAATTCCAATAGAACAAAAGAGATGTAATTTTGTTTTTGAGTCTGATGTCTCCCAGTAAGCCAGGGGCTGAGTCTGGAAGTCCAGACCCCTACGGACAAGCTGACATTCCTGCAACAGAACTAGGCAAAACCAGGAAGGTAAGATTTCTTGGGCCTTTCACTGTTTTGACATCGGCACCAAAGAGTTTTTATCTCCCCTCCTCATCACCTTACTTTTCCTCCTTGTCTCATCTTCCTGGGGAAAGCATCCCCTATTCAGCATCCCCAGAGCACTCTCAAAACTATCAAAAGGGCCTTCTCCCAGCTTCTCTGAATGTGTCTGGTCCCAGCCAAGATCCCTCCCTCAGCCCGAAGGGCCTTCTTTAGGGACCCATGCCCATCAACTTCTGATAAGACAGACATGCCAGAACAGGAAGTGGGGAGGCAGAGATGAAGGCAAGTTAGTGCTAGCCTGCTTTCTGCTCCCACCCCACCCACAACACCCCCATCGGAATGTGTGTGTGCTAGTATGATTGTGAGTGTGATTGGATGATTATGGAAACACAACTATATGGGAGTGGGAATTTGAGTTTAATTGGGGCTGTATGATTTTGTCTATGACTGTCCAATCATGAGTGTGACTTTGTGAGCTTATTTGAGTGACCAAGGTGTGACTGTGAATGAGGCCATAGATATATGAGTATGAATGTCTCACATTACATGCTACTGTGGACCCTTAGCTGTTGTTAGTCACTGTATGTCAGTCCCCACATCATGCATTATCCCTCTGCCCTACTTCTCTGACCAGGGCTTAGGAGCCCATGGGAAATGGCAGTACTAGAAGACGAAGGGGTCTATGTCTCCAGGCCAAAATTTAAGGCTCTGGAGTGTCACAAGATAAGCACTGCCTCTTCACCTGTCTCTGACTCACCTGGTGCCCCAGGTAAAATACACTCAGATAAAAGGTAGGACAGGAGGAGGAGAGAGAGGAAAGTGTCTAGGCTAGGCTAAACAGCATGAAGTGGCTCTCGCCCACCAGCAGCCTCCTGCTGCTATTGTTGCTCCTAAGCCCAGACCGTGGAGCAGGTAAGTACCTGGGGATAGAAGTCTGGGAATCTAGGTGAAGGGACTGAAGGGAAGGGGCCCAGGAAGTCCATCCTTCAGCTATCTAATGAAGCAGTTCTGGGTCTGGATCCTTCTAAACACACGGACCCATTGTCCCATAGCTTTGCTACTGCCACCCAGCACTACCTGCTGTACTCAGCTCTACAGACAGCCACTCTCCAGCAAGATACTGAGGAAGGTCATTCGGGTGGAACTGCAGGAGGCTGATGGGGACTGTCATCTCCAGGCTTTCGTGTGAGTTCTGACCCCACCCTTGGATACCCCTGATTCTAACCTCAATCCCAACTTTAGCCCCAACTGCTAAATCTGATACCAACTTGGGTTTTCACATCTTACTCTTATCCCTAAGCCCTGGACCCTAACCTCATCCCCAAGCTGTGGACATAGCTTTGGATCTTTTCCTTCCCAGGCTTCACCTGGCTCGACGCAGTGTCTGCATCCATCCCCAGAACCGCAGCCTGGCTCGGTGGTTTGAGCGCCAAGGGAAAAGGTTCCCAGGGAAAAGGCTTCCTGCCTGAATCTGATGCTACAAGGGAAAATGGGCTGGAGTCCCCAACAGCCAAAATAATAAAGCAAGATTAGACAATGATCTGAGTGTGATATAGAACAACCTCCTCGTTCTCTTTATTTTGCATCTTCATAGCCCCTGCAAGGGGCAAGGCCAAGAGTCAAGGACCCACACACGTTCTTCAGGCACATACATACATATATACATACATACATGCAGAGAACACATTCTCCCTACTTCACATACACATGGTCACACACGGACACAGACAGGCACATTCCTCAGGTGGACCTCCAGTTCTGGGATGAAGTCAGAGGTTCTGACACCTTTCAGCTGGCACATTTGGAATAAACTATTTCAAAGAAATGGGATCCAGACAGAACTTCCAGCTGATAGCACTGTCCAAAGGGATCTACAGTCCTGCTTGGTTCTATCTGTCCCTTCATCCAAACCAGCAAGACAGACTTATAGGTGAATCAGCTGAAGTTCTTCTGGGTCCTCTACAGGTTTGGAGCACCTAAAAGAGCAGGAGGCAAATCAGGAGAGCTAGCAGAACTGGGTCTTAGTCTATAGACATCTGAGAATGAGCGGAGCGCAGTTCTGAGCTCAGCACTCAGAAGGAATATGGGAGCCCAATTCAGAGAGCCCCAACACCCAAAAATGAGAAAATAGCTTTAGGCCCAGGCACATCAAAAATGAGTGAGGGTTGGGCTGGGGATGTGGTTCAAGTGGTAACGCGCTCGCCTGGCATGTGCGGGGCGCTGGGTTGGATCCTCACCACCACATAAAAATAAAGATGTTGTGTCCACCGAAAACTAAAAAATAAATATTAAAATATTCTCTCTATCTTTAAAAAAAAAAAAAAAAGAATGAGTGAGGAGACCAAGCACTGATCTAAGACATCCCAAGAAAAAGGATGGCTACCCAGTTTTGATCATTAGACTCAGGTATTAACCCTGAAAATGAGAAGGGGAGAACATCTAGAATCCTCTGTACCCTGAGAGGGAGCAGACCCACTTCTGAGCCAACAGACTTGAATGAAAAGGCCAACCCCAGCCTAGAAGAATGAGGAGATCCAACTCAGATTTATGGCACCCTTAAAATTACCAGCTCATCTGGCTCTAAAACCAAACACTCTCAAAATGTGAGCATACATCATCAAGTCCAAACCATTTGGAGGTCCTACTCACCTGGAAGCTTGTCCACTGGAATCATTGGGGCCAAGAACTCAGGCTTTTGGGGTCCATCCTTCCCACCCCGTCTCAGCCTCAACCTGGGCACAAAAAGGCAGCTGTCTCCCTGACATGGTGGGGCATCTCAGTCTCCTCCAAAAGGGTTTGTTAGTAAAGGGTCAGGAGAGGAATCAGTGGGAATCATAAAGTGGGGTGTGGGAGGTCAAAGTGGGGAGAGGTAGCTCCAAAAACAGATTAAGTGGTAAGGCATGAAGGTTAGGGATGAATATGGTCTCTGGGGATCAGATCATCTGTGGAGATTTAGACTGAGGAATCAATGACAGTCACTTACCACAGCCCCAGTGCCAGGGCCCCAGCTGCCAGTCCCAGGAAAGAAAAGATTCCTAAAGACACTAGCACAGCCACCTGCTCCAGGGGGTCCCTGTGATCTGAGGGGAGGACCATATACCACTATGAGAGTGAACCCAACCAAGCTCAGGTGGGGTATGTCCTTTTCTCAGGACTTTTTGTCCTCTACAACCTTTGTCCATCTATCCAAACTCACCAAGCGGCCGCGGGTCTGGCTGTAGAGAGGGCCTTGGAAGAGCAGGGCTGTCCACATGAGCTACTGTCTCCACCTGCACTTGTGGCTGGCTCTCATCAGGTACTTCTTTTGGCAGGGGCCCTTGAGGGAAAGTGAGACCTGAGAAATGTCCACAAATGTGCACAGACAGTGGGGGCAGGAGCCAGGCCTTGGGTTGCACTTAGGGGTACCACTTGGGTCACACTTAGGAGACAGATCCTGAAAGGGCATGGCCAGCTTTGGGGGACTTGGTTGGTAAAAGTAGAGCCTGCAACTACAGAGATGGAGACCAGGGGCAAGGTTTAAACTAAGGCAGAGCTGCAGGCCACAGGGCCTGAGAAATGGGATAAAAATCTCAATCAGAGCCTACATGGGTGAGGAGTATGTCACTGGGCTGCCTTCAGTGAACCAATACAGCTGACAAATGCTTGGGGTGGGTCCCTCTGCCCTTTTCTTTGACTTTGTCCCTCACCAGTACTGGGAGTCCCCCAGACCTCAGGGCTCCAGGCACTCCAGGTACCAGCATCCAAAAAATCCCGGGCACTGACTCGGACCGCATGAGGCAGCCCAGCCACAGCATCAGTGATCACCTCTTCCAAGCCAGCTGGCTCCACCTGGGGAGAAAATGATTTCTCAGTGCATTATCCAGGTCATAAGCACAGAGCTTACCTAGTCACAGTCTGAAAAGAGCTCCCTTTCCTCCCAGTCCTGCCCTATCAGCCTCGTAGGGGGGGTCCAGGCCTCATGTAGGGTAGCTGATGAGGTAGAGTCTACCCCTGGTGTTTGGAACACAGTAGTGTGTCGTGATTACCTAGATAGGCTGTGGCATCATTCTGTCTGGGTTCAAATCTTTGCTAAACCTCTTACTGGGTGAATTTTGGGCCTCTCTGCCTCAGTTTCTTCATTTGTGAAATGAGGATGAATATACCTAAGTGTGATGATGTATGTAAAACATGTAGCACAGTGATCAGTTGGCAGACAGCATTAAAAATGGGTTATGATCCTCCACTGACTTCACAGACTGAAGCAGGAAGATTTTGAATTCAAAGGCAGCCTCAGCAACCCTGTCTCTAAGTAAAATAACAAAAGAGGGCTAGAGGTTTGGCTCAGTGGCTAAGTACCACTGAGTTCTAACCCTAGCACCAATAAATAACAAACAAATAAATAAATAAATTTATAATACATAAAGATTATTAACAAAAAGATGAAAATACTTATTACAATAATCTGATTACTACTACTTATATAGATGTACTGAATTACATAATGTACCCCATAAAATGAATATATAAAATATATATTAAAGAGTTTTCAGTAACTTCATAAACAGCTGTGTAAAAGTTTTCTAAAATAAATAGAATTTCATCTGTCATGATTCTAAAGATGTCAACATATAATTTGTATACTTTCAGAAAATTTAAAAGCATCTTAGTGGATTGGGTTCAAATATTTTTCTTTTTCTTTTCTTTTCGTTTCTTTCTTTCTTCCTTTTTTTACCCACAAATTACACCCAGTGGTGATTAATCATTGAGCCATACTCCCAACCATTTATTTATTTGTTTGTTTGTTTGTTTGTTTATTGAAACAGGGTCTCAGTAAGTTGCTTAGGCTCTTGATAGTTGTTAGAGAATGGGCTCAAACTTTTGATTCTCCTGCCTCAATCTCCCAAGTAGCTGAAATTACAGGTGTGTTCCACATTGCAATTTATTCAAAGAAGGAGGAGGAGTTCTTGCTATTGATTCAATTAAGCATCAGTCTATGCTGCTCACTGTTTCAAGGGTATGTTGCCTTATGTAGCAACAGTTTCTTCATTTTCTGGTTGATATGTTTCATAAGAGATCAAAATGTAAAATTCAAATGGTAGAGAAATATATGAAAAATGTCTGGCCTTAATAATTCACGCCATAAAAATTATGGATTTTTAGTATTATTTTAATAAGAAAAAGAAAAAATATTAAAGTTGCATTTCTAAATAGATGTCTGTATTTTATGTCACTGAATATATCAAAAGATGTACTGTGGGAAATGTTGAAATATTATATATATCTTATATTCTATTGCTTCATAATATTGTTCCTTTTGTTTGGTAATTTTGGATTTAAAATTATGACCTAATAAACAACTGAAAATTGAAAAAAAAAAAAATGGGTTATGATCCAATCCTGCTGCTCCCTAGACCTGACATCAATCTCTGATATCTTCAGAGGTGGGAATTCACTACTATTCTCAGATTTGTATGAGTGTTTGAATGAGGATATGCCTCTTGGTACAAGGTATTTCTCTTCCAAGAAAAGTTCTTTTTAAAAAACCACTGCTATCTTCCCATAGATAGGTTTACATCATAATTATAGCCCTGCGGGGCAGAGGCTCTGTCATCCCAACTTCAACCCTAGCATCCAACACAACACCTGGCCTACAGGGAGGCATCAGGTCTTCAGGGACCTTATAGCACCTGGAAGGCATGCAGAACGCACAGTATCACAAAACCAGAGACAGATTCAAGCCTCACCGTGGACCAGGCTGGATGCTGTGCTGGACGGTACTGCAACCGGAACTTAAGCAAGAAGTGGGGCTGGCGGGGCCAGGAGGTGGGGTATATCCAGCTGGCACGCAGACGTCGCGGGTAACCAGGTACTGACTCCACCCGCAACCCCTGGGGTGGGTCAGGGCGCACTGAGGGTGATAATACACAAAGTCAGGTTAGGCAATAGGTACCCATCCCTCTCATACCACTTCCTGAGATGTGTGATTAACAGCACCCTAGCCAGGTGCTTTCAAGAGGGGAGGATGGAATCTTAAACTTGATTATCCATGAGGCTCAGGCAGGCCCTGTCTATCATCCTTATTTAAAAAAAAAATAAGCTGAGATCAGGAGGTAGGGTTTTGAAATGTTTGTTGAGTGAATAAAAAAGAAATTCTTCTTTCTATCCAAGGAAGATGAATTGGCTGAAATTCTTATCAGAGTTTTAGTGCCCACCTTCCACAGACAGATCAAAAGGAGAGGCCAGCAGGGGCTTTCCTTGGGCAAGAAAGACATTAGATTCAGCTGTTTCAGCATAAGGCCTAGATACAGGTGGTCAGCTCTGAGGCTAGGCAGGAAAGACCTATGAGTAATAAATAGCAGCAGCCTTTAGAGTGTGTGCAGAAGTAATCAAGCCTTCTGGGCTCTGATCCTTTTGACTTCTTGGTCTCTAAGGGGCCATCTGTATGTGGAATGGAATCTATATGGGAATTGTTTGGGAGCTGAGGGTGGAGGAACTGAGTCTGTTTGGGGTCTCCCTGGTGGGGATCTGAGGAGAAGTGTAGAGGCAGGTACTCACAGATATTCTGCAAGCTCACATCCAGCAAGCGTGTGCTGGCACCCAGTGGGTTCACCTCAGTCACATTAATCCGGTACTGGCTCCAAAACTCTGCCCCATGGACCACACATTGAGCAGCTCCTAAGGGGTCCTGTGGGCATGGCCAGGGCCCTGTAGATGGACTCACCCTAGTAGGGAGAATATAATCTTGAGCTTTGGAAATGCCCATTGTGGGATGCAAGCTGGAGCCCCAAGCCTCTCCCTCTTGTCCTACCTCTGGCCATCAGTTCCTGGCACTGTCTTCTTCCTGGTAGGGAGGGGACCTGAGGTCAGGAAGGAAAAGAGGGTCCTCTGCCCTCTCTGAGGCTTTCCTCAAACCTCCCTCTCTGCTTTCCATCCCCACACTGTGCTGGCACACCCAAGTGCATATACACATACGACTGATCATGCACACACCTGTAGGAGGTGAGGTAGCGGGTGGGTAAACCGCTGACCTGGCTGGGACTCCAAGTGCAGGAGAAATTTTCATAGTCAGCTGCTTGGCAGGAGACCACAGGACGGGCTGGGGGGTCTAGAGACAGAAGGTACATCTGGAGACTAAGCAGTCCCCTACTCCTCCCTATCCTAGAGGGCTTGCTCAGGTCCTGATTCCCTTAGAAACCCCACATCTTAGCACTTCCACCCTCCCTAACTCACAGCCCAGCTTCAGGATCACTGTGCCTGCAAGTGCACCATCCAGGGTCTGGCAGATATAGGTGCCCTCATCAGTGCTGTCTGCCCGCGCCAGGACCAGTTGGTGCCCCAGCCCAGAATCGGGTCCTTGGAGCAGCTTGGAGTCTCCGTCCCGAAACCAGGACACTGGGGTCCTAAAGGTGAAATGAGGTGATGACAAAGATTTAAAGTGTAAGTTAGACCATGCCACTGACATACCAAGCCCCTTGTAACAAAGCCCTTGCCTTCTTTTCCTTTGCCAGCTTTTACCTCCCTCCCCTCCACTCACTGCACTCCAGCCACATTGCTCTTCTTTATGTTCCTCAGAAGTATTGAGCTCATACCCATCTCACATCCTTTGCACCAGCTGTTCCCTCTGCCAGGAATGCTTCTACCCTAAATTGTGCAAGGCTGCCTCCTTCCTAGAGGCAGAAATCAGTTTCAATGTCACCTTCTCTGAGAGACCTTCCCTGATTACCAATAAAAAAATAAACACTCAGTTATCCTCTTCTAAATGATGCTCTTTGGATTTTCTGTCCTGCAAGTGTTGCTACCTAGGAAGACTCCTGTTTGATTATTGTCTGTCTTCCCCACTAGGATGTAAACTCTATGAGGCCAAGCTCCTTGCCTGGCTCATACATTGCTGTGTCACAGAGCCTAAAATAGACCAGACACTTAGTAGGTTTGCTCAATATACGATGGTTGCATTTCCTTTTGAATAACAGAAGGTGAGGACAGAGAGGTAAGGATTACAGTCTAGGGGGCAAGGATGGGAGGGAACAGGAGGACTGAGCAGGGTCAAGAAAGGGTCATAAACCAGGTGTGGTGCTGCATGCCTACCATCCCAGCCACTCTGGAGACTGAGACAGGAGGATCGAAAGTTCAAGGTCAGCCTCAGCAACTTAGATTTTTGTCTCAAAATAAAATTTGTAAATGGAATGAAAGTGTAGCTAAGTGGTAAAGTGCTTGCCTACTATGCACAGGACCTTGGTTCAATCCCCAGTACCACCAAAAAAAAAAAAAAATGTGTCAGATCAACAGGCGGGGTGGGGCAGAAGTGGGGAGGACACTTACCCAGCACTCACTCCAGGGCAACACAGCATCACGGATCTGCCAGGCTGCCCATACTGGACCCCTGTGGAGGGCATTTCTGAGGTGAGACTTTTCCTCACTTTGTGAGAATGAGAGGGTAAGGAGCTTTGGGTCAAAGCATTTGTAATGATCTGACAGAGATCAGAGGTCAAAGTAGAGACATGACCCTGACTGTTACAAGTTAGGCATGGGAAGGGGCCACAGTGAGAGTAGCAAGTCCCAAGTCAGAGCTGGGGGTCACAGAACAGCATTCTTCTCACCTGGGGGTCCCCAGGCCTGGGGGCAGAGGGAGGAAGCAGACACCAGGGCTGCAGCCACAGCCACCAGGACCTTGCTCAGCCCTGAGCAGCTGCTGCTCATCTGCGGAGAGAGAGGCAGGGTCAGGAGTACCCCATCCCTAAGATAGGAAGCTAAAACCTCATTCTTCCTCTGCACTTCAAAACTGGGGCTTCCTAGGAGGAAAACTGAACACGAAGTAGAGTAAGCTTATCAGAAATTATTGGAAGGTCTGACCTGCGCTCCCCTTTCTCACCATATAGCTGTATGCACACACACACACACACACCCTCCATCTCAGTACTGGGCTTAGGGCCCAGAACAAAAGCCGGAGGCAACAGACAGTGCCAGCATCCACCCCCCAACACTGCCCTTGGCGCCCACCCCTGGCAACAAGGGCTGGCCCTGGCTCAGCCACTCCCATTAGCCCCTCCAATCCAGCTGTTGGAAATTCTGGCATTCACTTCCACCTGTCCATAGCTAATCACTGCCTGTAACTAACCTGGGGCACACTTATCACCCTGGGGTGGGGGGCTAAGATGGTGGGTTTAACACCTTGTAAGCCTGGGCCTGGCTTCTTGCTCTGGCTACTTGGGCCACTCAGCTGGGCCTGGCTTGAAATCATGTTGGTCTTGAGCCTGTGAAGCCGGATGGGCCTAGGGTGCAGGCTAGGGCTGCAGTTAAGCGGATCCAGATGCCCTGGCTGCTGCCAGAGGCTGGGGGCGGGCGAGGAGCCAGCAGATGGAGATGGAGACAGGGTGGCGGAGAGGGGAGGGAGTTGGGAGCCTGCAGGGACAGGGCCCGGCAGCAGGGTAGTGGGGTACAATACCAAGAGATCACTGAGTGATGAGGACCAGCCATGATGCGGGCTCAATAAGGAATACTAGGAAATCAAGAAGTCTAAGAAGGAGTGTACAGAGAGAGTAGCCAGTGCTAGAAGACAGGGTTCTAGGTTGGCAGATGAACAGGAGGAGAAAACCATGAGGAAAAGGTAGATAGGGAGAAAGCCCTGGGCAAGAGTGCCAGAGAGGAATAACAAGGAACCCTTCAGAATAGAATGGGCTCACTCCTGCCCCACCCCCAGCCACATTTACCCTGCTTAGCTCTGCCCTACCTTGCTGATCCCAGTAACTGACTGTCCATGGCCTCCAGGGCGTCCTTCTACCAGCTACAGCACAAGCTTCTGCTCCACTCAGTTCTGGGACCCCAGAACCATCCCCTCCCTCTTTCCCTGCCCCGCCCCCCTTTGGGCCCAAGCTTAACCGCCCCTAGCCAGGCCCCCTCCTTCCTCCTCCTTCCTCCCTCCTCTTCCCTCCTCCCCTCCCAACCGAGGCCCTGGGAAGGGAAGAGGCCTCCCCCCAGACTGGAAAGGAAGCCACAGATGCAGCCAGGACCAGCAAGGAGAGGAGAATTGCTTATGCTTATGTCCCTGTCAGTGAGAAAATCCCTGTGTTTTCACCCAGTCACACATAGCTACATTCATGCATGGAATCACTGGGTATAGTTAACAAAAAGACACTCCTTTGAACACACATGGACACAATCAAACAAAAAAACAGACACAAGCTCATGCTCTCACTCTTTTTCATTCCACAGCAAATGTTTCCTTAGGGAATAGATGGCTGTGTTTCCAGAGAAGAAAGGCCCCAGACTGAGGGATATAAGGGAAAGGCCAAAGAGTTCAGTTCCCCCTCCCCTGGAGGTCCCAGCCATTTCTCACCTTTCCCTTCAACTTTTGGGCCTCAGCATCAGGAAATGCCTTTGGTCCCTTGGTGCCAGATATACAAGACCCACACTTAACCTCAAACTCACAAATAGTTATTCAGTCACACTGATATACTCAGATATCCTCACTCAGACTCAGACATATTTACACATATCTATACACCCACATACACATACATATACTGTGCCCCTGTGCAACTCTTCATAGTTCAAGCCATCTCTCCCTGGAGCTTTTACCAATGTTATCAGCATCTCATCACTATTACAGCCCCCAGGTAATCGAAAGGACAGGATGAACAGATGAGTCAGGCATAGAAACACTAAGAAACAGCACATAACAACAGAAATAGAACAGCAGATTCAAGACACCTGAGGAACAAAACTGCAGAGATAATTATTTCCAGAAAGATAGCCACAGGGTGAGAAAAAGAAATACAAGGAAACAGAAAATAAGGTGCAATAGACCAGTGATGAAAACTCTTTTCTTTTGGTTGAGAGGCAAGCAGTTGGGGATTGAACCCAGGGCTTCACATATGCTAGACCACATGTTCTACCACTAAGTTACACCCCCAGACCCCCAGATAATTGAGCAAAGAAAGCAGAGGAACCCACGTGTGCTGGGAATGGGTCTGTCTAAGCTGCAGGATAAGTTGAACAGTCAATTCTATGGAAATGCAATGTAGCTACACATAGTCACAAGTCTCACTTTTGCTCCTCTAGTCACACATTGGCACACACAAACAACCACCCACTCTCACACTGGCAGTTTTTTTAATTTTTTTTTTTTTTTTTTTTTTGTAGTTGTAGATGGACAGCTTGCCTTTATTTGTTTATTTTTATGTGGTGCTAAGGATCGAACCCAGTGCCTCACACATGCTAGGCAAGTGCTCTGCCACTGAGCTACAGCCCCAGCCCTGGCAGTTTTAAACCCCACAGGGACCTTCCCAAAATGCATTCCCTGATGTGGTCACAGACCCTCTTACACACAAACACACATCCCATCTCACCCCAAACTGCACATTGACAGATATACACATAATCCCACCCTTGCACGACCACATGCAGTCTCAGCTATATGCACGCTGATACACGCAGTCACATTAGCTGACAGTTGCACCAAGTGTCAATTAGTTGCGAAGTTTCACACACTGACATTGTCATAGACATAGCCTCAGAGTCACACAAACACACTAACAGTCCGTCGATAAGCCCCAGCACTTTAGATTACACACCACCCTGCCCCGCCCCTCCTGGCAAGACTTCATTGTCTACACCCGCCACCCCACCAGGCCTCACCTTCCGCGGCCGCCGCCGCCAGCGCCCTCGCCCTCTGCCCCGGCCTCTACCCCCTCCCGCCTGGGGCCCCTGCAGTGGGGGCGGCTCCACCCAGGCACCAATGGAAGAAGAGAGGTGAAATAAGGGGGGACTCCCGGCCCATTGGAGCCTCCAACTGCCAATCACTTCCACCCCCACCTCGGCCGGACACTTCCTGTCCCGTCCCGGGATGGAGGAGGATCCCGATGACCGAGGCTTAGAAACTGGGTTGCTGGGGTCTCGAGTTAAAGGCCTGTCTGCCCCTGGACAGCAGGTTTGAAAGTGCTCAGGCCCTTCCCATTTCTGGCTGTACACAGAGCAGGCCTCAGGTTCAGGGCTCAGGAGCCACTGGGCAGGTGACTGGAGAAGCTGAAGGTGCCCCTAGTTCCAGATAAGATAGGAAGGAGGGCTGTTTAGAGCAGTGGTTTTCAAATTCTGCTGGTGTTGTGATTTTAACACTGCCACGCCCCACCCCATACAAGAATCCTGGAGGTTGAACCTACATGCCAGTATTGTTAAAATTCCCCCAGAGGATTCCAAAATGTAACCAAAATAGAGGCCTATGTGTGTCTGTCTTTAGGTATGCCTTAAGAAACCAGCCACCCACCTAGGACTCTCATCTACTCCCCAATCCCTGGAGGCTCAAAAGAGTACTATGTCTGTCTGATCTCCTTCCAGACCAGGACAACACTCACAAGTCCCAAGCACTTCCCCTCCAAGATTTCAGAAAAAAAAAAAGATCCTGGAATGGAAGGCAGGCAGCCAAGGTTCTTCTGGGCCAGGTTCAATCACTGTTCAGCCTTAGCATGATTTCCCCGCCCAGAGACTCAGGATCCCCTGGGAAAAGAGTGAAGACCCAGCAGTCTAACCATCCTGGTTATTCCATTCACCTTAAAATTTGGAGGTTACCAGGTGGCATCAGTCTTCTCCTACTGTTACACAGGGAAAGATCCAGAACAGTGGGGGTAGACCCAGGGTCATTCTGAGAACTGTACCCTCTTTCTGAAGCCAGATTTTAAAGATAGGTAGTCAGTGTAGTTAGGTAAATCGGTTCTAATATCGAGTAAGATGAATAAAATGGAGGACATTATTGAGAATGGAATCCAGGAAACCAGAGCAGCACTTGGGGGAATTGAAATCTTAAAGTCCCCAAGGCCTGGAGCCCATCCAAGGAAATGTTAATGATGCAGCTCCCAGCAAACATGGAGATGCTAATCCAAAAGCCCTTCCTGCCCAGATTACTCCTTCAACCCACCTGTCCCCCACCCTTTGGGCCTTCTCACCTACATTCTGACACTGCAAGATAACAAAGGACAGGAATGCGGGAAACTGAAAGGAGACCTTAGCTATAAAAGGGGGAAGATCTCGCCCTTCCACGGATTCCACCTTTTGGGTCCCCTTCTTTCTCGGGGGAGAAGTCTTTTCTACTGTCCTTTAATAAAGCTTCTATTTTCCATTTTAAACTTGCCTTGGTGTGCTTCTCTGGTGTTATACTTCAGCATTGGGGAAGCAAGGACTCGTCACCAGTAAACAGAGGCAACACTTCTAGGCCTTGGGGCTCTTAACTCTGGCTGCCCATTCTCTGCCAGAGCTGTTTTCTACCCTGTGCAATGATCAGGGCACAGAGGCAACTGAACTGAGCCAGCCCATTCTGTATGTGAGAGTCTAGAGAAGCCAAAACACAAAGCCACCTACATGCTCCCTACCCGTCTCTTTAGCCCCTGTGGGCTGGAGCAGAGCCAAATTATAGTCACTCACAAAGCCAGGGTTCTGGCAAGAAGCCCAAGGTCTGGCCACTGACCACTGAGAGTAGGCTCCTGCTTACCCTCTCCCCACCAAATCCTCAGGCTCAGACTTGGTGAGCTAACACCAGGCTTGGTGGTAAAGGGAGCACTGGCCTTCCCAAAGCCTTAGCCACAACTAAGAACACAAGCTTTTGAAATAGTTTTCTTTTTCTTTCTTTCTTTTCTTTTTCTTCTTTTTTTTTTTTTTTTTTTTGGTAGTACTAGAGATTGAGATTGAACCCATACAACTAAGAACACAAGCTTTTGAAATAGTTTACTATTTCTTTCTTTGGTAGTACTAGAGATTGAGATTGAACCTAGGACCTTGCACATGCTAGACAAGTGCTAAGTGCTCTACTACTGAGCTATATCCCCAACCCTTTTTATTTTTATTTTAAGGCAAGGTCTCATTAAATTGCCCAGGTTGGCCTCAAACTCAGGATCCTCCTGCCTCAGGTTCCCAAGTAGCTAGGAGTAGAGGTATATGCCACCCCACCCAGCTTTAAACAGTTTTCTAAGATGGAATGCCATTTATACCACAAAGAAATCTACAGGCCAGATGCAATACTGAATATTAATTTTGTTCAGAGACTTGAGGTAGAATTTTTGCATCAAGTTTTTGCACATCTGCAGGCAAGGAAAAGTTGTGGCTGGAACTGTTCCCTTGGCTTTTAATCCGATCCCTGAAGGTTACAGTTCCTCTGGTGTCAGAATACGTGATTAAAGTTTGAGAGCACAGTTTTATTGAGGCTAATCTCCAAATTCCAGGACCCAATTCCCTCAGGGAGAAGGATTCAAGGCTCTGTGGTCAGCATGGTCAGGCAATGGTGGCTGTCTCCCTGTCCTTCTGCCCCAGGCAGTAATGTACCTCAGGAAGTGCCCTTAGTCTCTCTGCAGCCTGGAAGGGAGATAAGGAACAATCAGGGAGGGTGAAGGTCAGCCAGAATGGCAGGATGGAATTCTTAGCACCCAGAAGACACTGGGGATTATGGGACTGGGAGACTGGTGACAAGACTGCTGAAGTCACCAGAGAAGTTAGAGTTGAACAGCTCCTGAGTACCTAGGAATACCTAGGTTTTAATAGGGGTTTTCAGAGTCATGATTGTTAGAGTGCCCTGGGAAAGTGGAAGAGAAAATGTGATCTGGGGATCCAGAATGCGCCAGAGTCCTGACCTGCTCAGGGGTGAGGTCCCTCTGAGCCTGGGCCAGCATTTCATAGCCAACCATGAATTTCCGGACAGTAGCTGAGCGCAGGAGTGGAGGGTAGTAATGAGCGTGCAGCTGCCAGTGGTCCCAGTCAGCAGCAGCCTCTGATCCTGTAGGAGCCCCTGATAGGAAGAAGAGGCAGAGATGGTGGTAAGAGCCTTTTCTCAGTTCTTCAGTCTAGCCTCTACCCCCAAACAGGTCAAATACCTGAAAACTACATCTCCTGGCATCTTTCACCAGAGATCTGCACAGTACCTGATAACAGTTCGCCAAGCTTGCTGCTCCACCCTCAGTTAAGTATCCCTGATCTGAACAATCCCCAGTAAGTATTTCAAAACCTGGTAAGGATTTTAGCCCCCTGAACTGGAACCTGGGAGTCCAGAAATGTTGGGCTAGATATACACATAAAAAGCCTCACCATGCCAGCCCATGGAGTAGGGAAAGGATGTCTCAAACAGGTTGTCATACTTGGTCAAGAGCTTCTTCATGATGGAGGCTAGATCTGGAATTAGTACCTGACTCTTAGCCTGGGAACCAGATACTGGCCCTACCAGAGCCAGCCCCATCCAATGCCCAGCCCCAGGATCCTAGCTGAGAGACTCACCATCACGCTCAGTTGGGGTCAGCTCAGGCAGCCGCCTCACATGCCGACGGGGAAGCAATAGTGTCTGGAAGGGCCACACTGCCCAGAAGGGGACCAGCACTAACCAGTGTTCACTAGTTAGGACCAGACGCTCCTGGGCACATAGAATGGAGATGAATTCATCAAAGTGGGTATGCTAAATGAGGTGGGAACTGTAAATAGGTATGGGAAGCAAAAGAAAAGAATCTGACAGGGCTGAGGCTGTAGCTCAGTGGTAAAGCGCTTGCCTTGCATGCGTGAGGCACTGAGTTTGATCCCCAGCACCACATAAAAATAAATAAAGATACTGTGTGTTCACCTACAACTAAAAAAATACATAAAAAATATTTAAAAAAAAAAAAAAAGAATCTGATGGATTCTCACCACTTCTACCACTATCACCCTAGTCTTAAGCTACTATCATCTTTCCTTTAGATCACAACTAGTGTCTTCTATCAAGTCTCTTGCTACCTTCTATCCTATTCTTCACACACATCTCTTTTGGGGTAAGAAGGCTGAGGACTCTGGGAACACAGGGCCTGGCAATCTCCCACCTTCCTGAGTAGCTCCTGGCGACCATACTCCATCAGAAGGGGCTCGCCATGCTGACTTTGATAGGCCAGCTGACACCGTTCCTCACGCTGGGCAATATCTGGCAGGAAACTGCTGGCCCACACCTGTCAAGAGAAAAGCAGGCAGATACTTTACCTACAAGCCTCCATATCACTAGCATATTTTCTTTGTCCCATCCCTTTATCCAGTTACCCTTCCCACAGTGCTGGCTTGGATCCAGCCACGAAAGCCACTAGAGCACATAATACATTTACCTGGCAGTGAGGGTGGGGGTTAGAACATCCCATCATGGCTCCTTTGTTTTCAAAGATCTATTGGGTAGGGGTAGGGAGATTTAATAGCAAAAAAAAAAAAAAAAAAATCATATCATATCAACTCCCTCCCAACCATACCCTGTGGAAATGCTAATCCCTTGAATTGAACCTGTACTGCCCCCTCCCTGCCCATCCAGGAAACAAACAGACCTGTACCCAAGGGTACTGGGCACCCAGCTCTTCTGTGACTGAGGCCCATGCATCGATGACAGCTCGTATCTCAGGGACTGACATGAGTGGCAGTGTCACATCCGACCAGGGGTGGAAGCACATGACCTTACTAGGCAGTGAGGAGAAAAGGGACAACATAGGACAGAGCTTGGGTACTAGGGGCAGGGTCTAACCACAGGGCTTAGTCTTCAACCCTGGGTTGAAGGCTGTAAGAGGGGAAATCCATAGTTACCAAACTCCTCGAGCAGCTCCTGCTTGGAACAAAGGGTGATCACTGGGTCCTAAAATAAAGGGACATCTGTGCAGCAAAAGTTTTCCAAGAGGTCTATCCTCCCTCCTCCCCAACAGTAATTAAAATCAGGATACCTGGATCAGGAGCATCAGGCTGCAGAGCTGGGAAGTCATTGTCAAACAGGAAAGTGCCATCATAGTGGGGATTCACCTACTGACAAAGATGGGCTAGAAGCATTCACTGCTCCATTACACCACCTGGTGGGCTTCAAGGGCAGCACAGGGTGCAAGGAATGGAAAAGACCCCCTCCAGGGAACCAAAAGACTTGGTGGGATATGACTCAGAGGAGGTCCATTGCACCTGTGGATGAAGGGCTGCTCTAAGGGGGGACTACTCCCTGCTGGCTGACTTTGTGGGTGTGGGCTGTACAGGTTTACCTCTCCATTGGCTCGTGTGGCCCCGGGACACAGAGGGTTTAGGGGGTCATGGCGGGGCACTGTCTTCAGAAGTTGCGGCTCCACTTGCCCTTGCCAAGGCCGCTTCATGCGGTGAGCTGACACCAGCACCCACTCATCCTGCAGCGGGTTGTAGCGAATATGCTGATGCTCTGGGGGCAAACAGTCAAGATCAGTCAGCAAAGCTCTGTAACCCTCTCCCCTGAACCTCACCCACCAGCAGGCCCAAACTCTGGGGCGTCCTCTAGCCCCGTTCAGCTCAGGAAGGTGCTAAAGACCCTGGGCTGAACCTTCCCAACACCAAATGCCCTACAGCTCTTCTCTCTCAGTCCGGGTGGGCCCCACGGACCTTGAGTTACAAGGCAAGGGAGCTTCCTAAGGGAAGAGGAGGACTCGGTTCTGCGTCCCAGCGAGACCGGGCAGCCCTACAATTACCGCTAGCCCGGAAGGTTGCTGCGGCGGAGTCCGCCTCTGACGCCTGCCGGCGGTGCTCAGAATCGGTTCCGCCGTGCGACATGAGGCCACCCCCGGGATCCTCAGGAACGCCAGCGGGGCCGCAACTCTCCCTTCCATTTCTATCCGCCCCGCCCTGCGTCCCGATCATTGGCCGGCAGCCAACACGTGACAACCTGAGAGGCCTGCCAGCCACTTGAGGGCGGGGCTCAGGACTGCAGAGAAGCAGGCTGAACTATATGATAGCCCTCCACCCAGGGCTAGATCCAGTACTGGAAAGTCCTCTGTGAAAGGAGCTTACTGCAGAGTCCTTCTGCCCCAGGACGTTTACAAGATTTCTTTGCTGCACTCATTCATTCATCTGGCCATTCATTCAGCAAATTCTTACTGAGCATCAGCCGTGTGCTAAGCATCTAGGCTAGGATTTCCCTGTGCGCACAAGTTACGCATGGCCTCTACTCTCTCAGAACTTTATTCTAGTAAAGCTATGACTCTGGACCTAACAAACACCTGAGTCACCTGCTCAGTAGCTGTGGTGGAAAAGAGGTTAATCCTGCAGGTGCAGGTGGGCCTTGATAGCTGAACGCTAGTCCCTCAGGCATTACCTGGAGGAGTACAGCAGAAACAAGTGGGGGGGGGGGGGGGGAACAATATTTATCTCTCTCTCTCTCTCACACACACACACACACAGATGAAAAACACAAGAAGTGGGAGAGGTAACAGGGCTATAAGTGATATAAAAAGAGCCAGACATGGTGAATTGCACACTTGTAGTCCCAGTTACTTGAGAGGCTGAAGTGGGAGGATCATTTGAGACCAGTGTCAAGAACAAAGAAAGAAAAAGAGAAGGAAAGGAGAGAGGGAGAGGGAGAGAAAGAAAGAAGCAAGGAAGGGCAGGGGGAGAAAAAGAGAGAGAGAAAGAAAGAAAGATAAGCAGGTGGGTGAAGAAGGGACAGGACTGTCAGTAGCTAAGTAGCTCCAGCTATCTGGGAGGCATCAGAAGTGTTTGTTTCCTTTATATATCCCCTTCTCCAAATTTTTCTTCTATCAGACCGATTAGCTAACACTAGAACAGATTCAAATTAATTCCTCCCCTGGTGAAAGCATATGAAAGAGAATATGAAAAGAAAATGGAGGTAGACCTCAATAGATCAGTAATGCTTTATTAAGCAACAGAGGGTCATATTTTAGAAAGGAGAAAATGGTGGTGGGCTCCAACAAGGGTCTGGGTTTTATAGGGTTTAGCAGGGCCAGGTCAGTTGGTCAGTTATTTTTGGCAGGCTCATTTAGGGCCGGACAGGAGGGCAGGTAGGGGAACAGTTGTAGATCCCTGGGACCTATGGGGTGGGGGGTAAATTTCCATCTCCTTCACCTGGCACTCCTAAAGAGCCATTTAAATATTGTCTAAATCTCCTCCCCATATCATAGTGGGGACCAGAGTCCTCAGGTTACCCAGAGAATGAGTGTCTAAGCTGAAATTTGAATGTAGATTTCCAAGAAAATTCCCAGTGCTGTGAGACTTCAATGGGATTCAGGACAGAAACCTAGTGAGCTGAAAGCTGGACTGTGGCAGGGAGGCCCCTTCCCCCAAGCCAGGCCAGGCGGAGCCAGGTATTTCTGTAGCTGAGCTGTAAAAATTGGGTCACTGGCCATTTACCTGATCTCTGCCCTAGAGTCCTCAGATTGGAATCTGAAGAGGCCACTATGTCCAGGACAGAGAGCAGGAACTGAAGGATGAGTTTTACCTGTTCCCACTGGTATAGGAGGGATTGAGACTGGGATCAGAACCTTACTTTTCTACTTCTGCAGGTGTCTTTGTTGAGTGGACACCAGAGACACCAGTGTTTCAATGCCCCTCCCTAGTTCAGGACAACTGATTTTCTGACCTCCTTCAGGAACATTTCTTTTTTTTTGGCAGAGGGTGGGGTGGGGTGGAGGATATCAGAGATTGAACTCAGGGGCACTCAATCACTGAGCCACATCCCCAGCCCTATTTTGTATTTTATTTAGAGACAGGGTCTCACTGAGTTGCTTAACACCTAGACAGGGTCTCACTGAGTTGCTTAACACCTAGTTGTTGCTGAGGCTGGCTTTGAACTCACAATCCTCCTGCCTCAGTCTCCTGAGCCGCTGGGATTACAGGCATGCACCACTGGGCCTGGCCAGGAACATCTCTTTAGGAACATTTCCTTAGTCTCCTCTGTATCTCTCCAGGTCACTTTCTGGAGGGAAAGGAGAATGACTTAGATGAGGCCTACCCAGCACTCTTCCTCCCAGATCCCAGAGGTGTGTTTTCTGCGATAACATCTGGGGATGATGGCTTTGACCCTTAGTGCCTTACTTAGTCTTCCTAACTGGGGTCATTTAAGTTTACAAAACACTTAAAAAACAAAACAAACAAACAAAAACAAAAAATACCAGAGTATGCTAGAGGAGCTTCCTGAAAGACCAGACAGGGGAGTTGCAAGACCAGATGGTCTCAGAAGACTGCCTGAAATGGGGGTGTGGGGGAGGGCAGAAACCAAGTTTTTGGGCTAGCCCCTCCTACCCAGGGGTCCCTGAGTTTTAGGGGTTGTTACCCTAATACAGACAAAAGATAGTTACTATATTCTGTGCAGCAAAGAGTAGAGTCTGAAAAGATGGAGGGTTTTTTTGTTTGTTTATTTGTTTTGTTTTTAAGAAACTTGATGGAGAAAGGAAAGATCAAGGAGGAATTATCTAGAAGGGCCTCAGGGTTCTTGGACAATACTTAACTCGGGAGTGCCATAGGGGCTGGGGATGTGGCTCAAGTGGTAGCACGCTCACCTGGCATGCGTGTGGCCCAGGTTCGATCCTCAGCACCACATACAAACAAAGATGTTGTGTCCGCCAAAAACTAAAAAAATAAATATTAAAAAAAAAAGGAGTGCCATAGAAGCCAAAGGAAATATAAAAACGTATTCCCTCAACCTTGCATTCTCCTCTAGATAATCCCTTCTTTCTTTCTTATTATTAATATTTGATACTTGGAATTGAACCAAGGGGTGTTTTACCACTAAATCACATCCCCAGTCTTTTTTTTTTTTTTTGATTCAGGGTCTCTAAGTTGCTGAAGGACCCTGAATTATGCCTTGACCTCCAAAGTAACTGGGATTATAGGCCTGTGCCACTAATCCTAGGTTTATCATTCTTTTCTCTACCCAGTTTCTAAAAAATAGTCTTATTTTCTCATCCTCTACTCTCAGCTGCACAAAAATTATAGGATGTCTTTTGCCCTGTATTAGTCAATAACCTTGTTTGCTATAACCCTCAACTCAGTGGCAAACAACCCACAAGCTCAGTGGCTTGGTATTATAATCCATGGTGTATATTTGGGATGGGGGTAAGTTTTGCTCTATGCAGCATTCAGGGACCTAGGCTCCACAGTCCTAGTGGCTCTACCATTCCTTAAGGCTTCAGAATTCTCTACTATGTCCTCTGTAATTATGGTAACATGAGGATCAAAAGACAACATAGGTGGGTATGGTGGTGCACATCTTTAATTCCAGCTACTTGGAAGGCTGAGGCAGGAGGATCATGAGTTCAAGGCCTGCATAAGCAATTCAGCAAGATCCTGTCTCAAAATAAAAAATACAAAAGGGCTTGGGTGTTGGGGATGTGGCTCATGGGCTAGGGATGTGGGTGAGTAGTAAAGTACCTTGCCTGGCATTCATAAGGTCCTGGGTTTGATTCCCAATGCCACCAAAAAAAAATGTGTGTGTGTGTGTGTGTGTGTGCGCGCGCGCGCACATGTGCCTGTAACTGGGGATGTAGCTCAGTAGTACAGCACTTGTCTAGCATGTGCAAGGCCTTGGGTGTTCAATCCCCAGTACTGTTAGGGAAAAAGGGAGAGAGAAAGAATGTAAAGAATTTCACAAGACATTTTAAGAGCCAGATCTGGAAGTGGCATTTAATTTCTGCCTATATTTCATTGCCTAGAATACAATCACTTGGCTTCATCTAAATACAGAGTAGAATGGAATATAATCTGGTTGCTCAAGAGCAAAAGGAGGGCTGGGGATGTGGCTCAGGCGGTAGCGCGCTCGCCTGGCATGCGTCAGGCCCAGGTTCCATCCTCAGCACCACATCCGAAGATGTTGTGTCTGCCGAAAACTAAAAAATAAATATTAAAAAAAAAAAGAGCAAAAGGAAATGGGTTCATGAATGTAGTCTTGGAGACAACACTCATTTCTCTGCCACATGCCCCTACTGAGAAATCTAATGATTATTTCCCATTGTCTTATTGAACCTCTCAATTATATTTATGCTGGCCCTTCATTCTATCACTCCCATGTGTGAGACTATTCTCTTCTACTTCCTTTATGTTTTATTCATATAACACATATAATGACCACCATGTGCCATACATTAATTGCTTTAAAAATATTTACTCAATCTTTATTACCATAAAGGTATGTGCTTTTATTTGTTCCATTTTACAGATAAGAAAACTGAGTCAGAGAGTTTAAGCAATTTGTCGAAGATCACACTATTAGGTGGTTTTGAGCCAGGCTTTGAACCTGGCTGTCCAGCTTCAGAATTTATATATTAATCACAGCACTATGCTGCCTCTTTTTTCTCTTTTGCTTCTCTTCGTTTTTGTTCTCTTCTTCCTCTGCCTATCCCTCAGGGTTGGTGTTCTCTAGAACACTGTCCTTCACCTTATCTTTTCAATTCTCCCTCCTTTTGAGATTTTATCCATGTTTTAGGGTTTTTTTAATTGGTGCATTGTAGTTGTATATACTGGTGGGATTTGTTGTTACATATTTGTACATGCACACAATAGACAATATAAGTTTTGGCCAATATCATTCCCGAGCACTTTCCCCCTCCTTCCCCATATTTTAGGTTTGTTTTTTTTTTTATATTTTAGTTTTTAGTTTTCGGCGAACACAACATCTTTGTTTGTATGTGGTGCTGAGGATCGAACCCGGGCGTTTTAATTACCATCTTTTCTGTAGGATTCCCAGTGAGATTTCTAAACTGGAATGAGATCATGCTTGCACTGTTTAGAGCCATATCCCTGAAAGAATGACAACTCCTATCATCTACCTCGACTGGATCTGAACTTCAGAACCGGACACTCAAGTGCCTATTAGCCAACTATAGAGAA